GGAATGCCACGCATCACCAGCTACGAGAGTCAGTCAACCTCGAGAAGGAATCAGGTGTGGAACAAATGAATTCGCGACGGGGGAGGCGGATCAGCCAGCTCTTTAATCTCGCGGAAGCGAATGCTTTTTTTGTGAAAGATAGATTCGTAAAGCAGGGCATTGCCGTCATTTCTGTTCTCATGCAAAAATTCGAGATTATTTGTTCATATATATAAAAGATAAAGGCAATTAATGCATATATTTTAAATCAATAAAAAGAAATTTAAATTTCACAACTGTTTTTGTTAAATTTTATTAAAATTTTATTAGGAATAATTATAATATATAATAGGATAATATATTGCAAGCTTTTTTTTTTAATTTAAACTAAATATTATTCCATATGATTGTGTGCAACATGCATTGATAACATTATTAAAAGCTTACTAATATTTTATTTATACCGAGACATTTTTTAATTCTATTTATTAAGTATTATATATAAAAATTCAGTAATATAATAATTCATATCATTTATTTTTTATGAAAATTTGAAACAATGTTTGTACACATAAAATCACACAAAAAGTTGAAAAGTATATGCTGCATTTATATAATATAAGGAAGTGAAAACATAAATAAAATTATGTCAATATTGGGCTGCGCATTGAATATTCTTAGTATTGTAAAAACAGAGATCGAAAATAATTTCAATAGGAAATGTTTTTAATTATCCGCTGATAATTAAACCTGCTTTTATAATTCTTTCAAATTATGAAATTGTAACATATGTACCATGACAGAGAAAGATTTAAATAAAAATATAATAAAATTAATTCGGAGAAAATTATTAAACATACGAGAACTATATAATATCATTGAAAGGAATAAAAGCGATAATTATTTTTATGTGAAAATTGTATATACTAAAAATAATACAATCTACAATGAAATCCGTGCGCAATGATTAAACGTATCAATACTCTCTAGCAATAAAGATTCCGTAATATTTCTTTAGAAAAATATTAATTGTTCGAAATTAGTAATTAGGATTATATAAATACTTTTATTTATATTCATATGCAACGTGGTCACATATTATTATTACATGATATTATTGGAGTATATATCATTCTCGATGAAATTTTTCGACAAAAATCGTGAAGAGAAAATGTCACTCATCTGAAAGAACGATGAAGGTTTCTCTTTTTCTCCTTATCACGTGCATTAACTATAATAAAATATCGATGGATATACGAATACTACTTGGAGCTCGCACGAGTACGTCGCGCCTTGCTCCATCGTAAAAAGCCGTTCAGATCGCGGCCATTTATCTATGGCGTGATTCATCTCTTTGACTGCGACACATGGTATCTTTAAACGTTTTACCTGCTACCGGATTCCCTGCAGCTAGTATAGGGTACGCCGCCGGTCCAAGTAACAGCCATCACTTTGTCGGCCTTTGTCACGGGGATTATGCGCTGGGTGGCAAATTATGACGGACACCTTCACGCCCAAGACACCCTCTAATGTGCCCGCCGAGATGGCAAAAGAGAAAGAGA